CCTCAATTTTTGAATTAAACCATCCAGAGACTTCTCATTTCGTTTCTAATTACCTTCACGACCATTTCACGCAAAAACATAGTTAGAATTATTCTTTAAAATTTGGGCTTTGAATTCTTATTCCACTGAACGGAAAAAGTCTTCCTTGTGCAACCAAATCGCCTATTCATTCCACAATATAAATAAGCAACGATGGCTACGGTAAAGAATCTTCTGAAATTTAAAATGACTATTATTGTAATATCAATGCAGAAATAAGGATTTCTATGTTATTTCTATAGAATGTAGCGAACTCAATTGAAGAACGGAGTCTGACCTGATTGCGCAACAATATGTATATTCCAACAGGGCCACGATAATGATCGAAGGTTGAATTCATGGTCCGACGATAACCAGAGACGGAGAAATAATAACAAGGCGCATCGAAAACACGATGAATTAGCGTGGCTGGAACAGCCCTAAGGTTTTTCAGAACAGAGGCCTCGAGGTCGACGACGCATTCTGTACATGGAATTTCTTCTGGATGGCGCAACGGTATACAAGGATTCACCTTAGCAGCTTCGCATTCCCCCCTTTTTCGTCTTTCCTCGCTCGGAGCCTTAGCCGCCACGCACACAGACGCAGGACACACGCAGGTCACGTCAGCAAGCGCGCACGCATAGAAACGCGGCTGCAAGACATGATTTTCATTTCGGTCGACCTCACGCTATCGTCTCTCTGTTTGTAGTGTGCCCTCTTCTTTCGCCGTACGTAGAAGATAAGGCGAATACGGGAATCTCTGAGGCGTATTATACACGTTTTTCGGACCTGCCTCCCCTCCCCCCGACGCCACTTCGCAAGACGATGGTAAACAGGAAATAGTGTCCCACGTGGGAAGGCCAGGAAATGTACATGCAAGAGACTTGAGAATTTCTTTTAGCCGTGGAGAAACAGAAACCGGCAATTTCGGTATGATTCAATATTTTTTAATTGTTTTAACGTGGAAATTCCAATATCGAATGGGTAGACACTTGGTAAATAATTATTTAATCTCGTTCACCGTTTAACAATAGAACTACTAACGTTGAATGTTTGCTAAGTTAAATTCAGTAATATATAATGTAATATAACTTGGTATATTATAATATAAAGTGTATAGGAAACTAGAGGTTAGCATAAATTTCGATGAAAGTATCTTTTAGGATTTCGATAATTGTAAAATAGAAAATCTGGAATCCGTAATTTTCAATCTTATTCGAGGAAAATTGTACTCAATTGGAATGCTTCAGCCTACTTACAATGGCGTTGTTGATTTAATTATCGTGGTTTTTTTCTAGTTCAACTGTTGGGATTGTGAAATAACGTTTGGAAGCTTGGGGAGGGAGGGATTAAATATTTGTCTGATTCCATGGCTTCTGGCTGAGGGTGGAAAATCGAGCCAGCCACCATAAGTCACATATTTGATTTGCGTGGTCGTGAAGGGCCTCAAGACCCTGGGAAACAAACTTCGGAGGATTTTTATAAGAGGACCCAGACGCTATCAACCGTCGCCACAGTCGAGTATTTGTACGAAAAATCTGGCCAAAATTCTTTTCATCGACTTTCACGCAGCCAAATGAACTTAAAAATAATAAACCGTAATTATTTAAACGTAACTAATTAAAATAAATTAAATAATGTAGCTGAGGAAGACAATTGACATCACAAAAATGGCCATAATGTCACTTCATTTTTAATAATGTTGTAAGAAAGCAAACACTCGTGTTGTTTTTTTATCTAAGTTTAAAAATTGTAATTTTGGCCAGCTTTTCAAGTCAAACACTCCACGCTGTGGCGTCGTATCGTAGACCAGGGCGTGGTGGCAATTTTCGGGAACGCATACAGATAGACAGCACGCAGGTTTTTCGTCCTCGATTGCAGGGAGGCGCATTAGCGATGGCCTCGAGTTTCTCCGTTCCCCTAAAAAAATATTCTGACGCAATTCTAATAATATCTCAGTGAAACATACTATATTCAATACCGCCCAATATACATCGAATTTAAAATTGATATTTTTCAGGAAATTACATAAGCTTTCCACTCTATTGGATCTATTGGATCTATTATAAAGGAAGGTTTATTACGGAATTTCTCGACAACTTGCGAGTCAGAGAATCTAGGAGCCGTCGCTAGCGTTGATACGCGGGAAAAAAGACGTGGGTGTACGCACACAACCGTCCACGGCCCATCGCTGCCCTATGCACACACACACACACACACACACTTGCTGCACGCATGCACTGGTGCACGTGTGCGGCGCGCCATACCCCGCAGGATATTGGCCTAGACGCCGCGTGATTGGCCGATCGCGCAACACCAGGGACGACGATGCCTGTGCAAGCCTCGTGTGTGCTATTCAGTGGCGTAACTCCGTAGGTTTGCATTTTTTTAGCTTTTTTTATATTTCAACAGTATTCCATTTCGCAAGATCCTAATTTCCTAGAGTATACAATCGTAACAGGGCTCGCTAAACGGAACGGAAAGCTACAAACGATGACTAAGGTCATTATTGCCAGAAATACTATCCAACGGTAATTATCGAAATCCTAATTAGTCTTTCGCAACACGTCCAACATTAAAAGTTCCAGTATAAACAGTGAATATATTCCAGAAAAAGTATGAATTTTGCAAGATCTCTGAAGTATTTCCAACGAAGAAAATTCGCTCGAATTTTCCGAACGATTGTCTCGTACGGAACACGCCTGAATCAGTTCTTATCGCGAGAGCACAGTTCGCGCAATGATAATCGGGCCCCGTTAAACAAATCGACTAATCAGTCCGTCCACATTGTTTCCCGTCAATCGTAAACATTCTCTAATACTGTATATTCGTATCCACTACTCGTGTTGCCGGTAGGTCCATTCAGGAGCTTTAAAAAATTCTCGAATTTCGCATTAGAAGTCCGCCCATAGGCGGTACGGTTACGCCACTGCAACCGCCACTCACGCTCTCTCCCGCACGCACGAGCAAGCGAGACGGAGATAGTTACGTTGCGGGGGGAGTGAGAGAGACGGACGAACGCGCACCAACACATGTCAGCGGGCCACCCCTATGCGTAGCCCCCCGAGCCTGTGATCAGCTTGGCCGACGAGTGCGTCTTCTAACGCACGACCTCGTCAGTGGTCGCCGAGTAGGCCGTAGGAGAGGGTTTCCGTTCGCGCTTCGACTTCGTTTGTTCTGCTTGCTGCGGGTGTGTGCACTCGTATCGCGACGACCGACGCTGCTGCTTTAGCAAACGGGATCCAGGAAAAATCTTTGTCGAAAAGGGAGGATAACCTCGTAAAAAAAAGCAAAAAAGAAACAGAGTATGAACGTGGCCGTGGATCGTCGGTTGTGAAAACGACGAGAATCCTCCGAGGAGGTTAGAAAAGGAGAGGAGGTGGCATCGAAGGACAGAGTCCTGTAGAGAGAGAAATAGTGCATATATAGAGAGAGAACTTGTGTGTTTACCTACCCCTCTCTGTGAATGGTGGGCAATACTCCAGTGGCCCAGTTCCGCGGGTTCCCCGCGTACGAGATTCATACGCGTAAAACGCGACGTCTAGAATGAAGTCACGAGGTTTGTTTTGATCCGCCCGCGCACGCGCCCCAACGAATCGCCATGCAAAATCAGTAGGGGCGGATAGATAATCGCCGTGCGCGCGCGGTCGTGTGTGTTTTGCAAGCAGAAGGATTCGAAAGAAAGAAAAGAAAATAATCACCTACTACCGGAAGGATTTGAGCAGAGCGGATGCGAGTGCACACGCACGCGAAAAATCGTGCGTCCCTAACGTGATCCTCGGCGACCATTTGAACGTGTACCGCGGCGCCATAAGTTTTTTTGTTGTTCTTTTTTCATTCGAGGGAAAAAGAACGCAACGTCTTGTCCAGTAAGTTTTTTTTCGCTATTACTTCGTCGCAACATCAACACACCACCCTGTGTAACTTCTTCGAGTATGGTTAGAATTGTTTTTTTTTTTTTTTTTTTTTTTTTTTTTGAAGATAGTGTGTTAGCTTCTGCAACTTAGTGCAATATGTGTTCAGTTTTAGATGGTAGTGTGTTTTGAAATGTAAGTTTTAATATGGGCTGTCTTTCGTTCGGTGATATATGGGGAACCAGTGGAGGGATTTAAAAAATATATATAGTTGGGCAAACAGTTTCTGTTTATTTACTCGTTTGACTCTCCCCCTTGTTGTAAAGGGGATCGATGGTAACATGTTTCGAACCGTAACTTCCGCGTGTGTGCGTTGCGAACACGGCATGCGACGCGCGCATACGCCCTGCAGCCAGGTTTTTTACGCGTTTTCATGGAATTAGGTGAACGGACTGAAACGGAGGGGGTAGTTCCACGTGAGTGATTCACACCCACGGCGGGGGTAATTATTTCCTCCGGGTTAACGACTTTTTTTGGAAAATAACGCTCGAAATACCATTCCAATTTATCAGGGATCCTCTTCAGGGACAAATTTATTAAGACCAGAAAGAATTTTTGGTATTCTTCGGCTGTTGTATTTAAAAAATGTATTCATAAATATTACCGTCAATCAATTTGCAGAATATGCTTTTTTCTTCGGGAATTTCCTAATGAATATTTAATTACAGTTTCGAAGCAATGTTTAAATAACAAAAAATCTAAATATAAACATACGTGTCAATAACTCTGAAGAGGTTAATTGTATAATTTCCTATAATTTAAGTGCAATTAATTCCCGTAATTAAGTACAGCTCAAAGCACGCAATACAGTAAATCTACGATGAGTGTTCGAAGGCTCCTCGGCACTGAATATTAAATATTTCATAAACCAATGGTCATATGCGGCTGAGACAAATATCATTGGCTTCAGAATTCCAAATTCTATCGTTTTACCTGGGAACCTCCTTGTCAGTGCCGAGGAGTCCTCGAGCACTCATCCAGGATTCACTGTATTCTGAAATCTTCGACCCTTTTGAAAACTATATGTTCTGTCTGTATTTCCAGCCTCCGTCGATAACATCGTCCACGATGGCAAGCATGTCCCAGCAATATTGCCTACGGTGGAACAATCATCGTTCGAACCTGCTGACGGTATTCGACGAGCTGCTGCAGAACGAGGCGTTCACCGACGTGACGCTCGCGGTGGACGGCGGCGCCTCGGTGAAATGCCACAAGATGGTACTGGCAGCGTGTTCCTCCTACTTTCAAACGTTGTTCATCGATCTCCCGTGCAAACATCCGATCGTCGTGCTGAAGGATGTGAAATACTCCGAGATAAAGGCAATCTTGGAGTACATGTACCGTGGCGAGGTAAACGTCGCGCAAGAACAATTAGCTGGCCTGTTGAAGGTCGCCGAGGTATTGAAGGTTAAAGGTCTGGTGGAGGAGAATGGGTCGCAGGGTCGTCGCGAGGAGGTCGAAACCTCGATGTCACCACCTCCTGCGATTAGCACAAGCACCACCAGTGCAGCCCACAGCAGTGGACACACATCGCCGCCACATTCCACGGGGTCGTCGTACAACACATACGGAAAATCGATGGATCGAGGTCCGAACCGTCTCCCGTTACCGATGTGGCCGCTCTCCGGGATTCCAATCTCCTCTCATTCGAGCTCCAGCCACCAGGTGGCGCCCCATCTTCAGCACTCGCCGATGCTGACCGGCTCGTATGATAACGGCTTCGAATCGTCGCCCCTGAAACGCAAGAAACTCTCAAATATGCTGATGAACAGAGACACACCGATCCTGAGGACGGTACTCGGCCAGGGTCACGCGGACAGCTCGCAGGGTATCCCACTATTACACCCAGACAGCCATGAGAATCACTTCAAGAACACCACCAGCAGCAACGGCTCGAACGACAGCGACAGACGCAACAGCACCGAGGTCGCCCACGGGGAACCGGCGCACAGCCCCTACACAGACGTGTCCATGATTGACGAGGACGATAAGCAACCCTCGCCACAGTCCTATTCCGGGGACGTGAAATCAGGTAATGGAAGAAGCAGTCAGGTAGCTAAGTTTCAGGGATTACCGTTAGCTTCTCCTCTGTATCACCCGTTTTCTTTCTTTTTTTGGGTGGTTAGGTATCTAGTAAACGGGTGAGGGTTAGCACAAAGGGATTTTTTGAGAGAAGATCTGACTTTCTAAGTTTAAGGAGGGGCTATTTTATGGGGGGGCCTTGCAGTCAGGTCATCTTTGCCCTTCTTGTTTTACGACAATTGGGAATTAAAGCTCCTTCCTTTTCCAGGGATCGTCAACTACGTTCCAGCCCAGAAGCCAGAGTGGAAGAGATACAAGCAGTACACGCGGAACGACATCATGTCCGCTATAGAAGCTGTCCGTTCAGGTATGAGCGCGTTGCAGGCGGCACGTAAGTACGGAGTGCCTTCTCGAACACTATACGACAAGGTGAAAAAATTGGGGATCACGACGTCACGGCCGTTTAAACGCGGTTCGAACGGCAGCGGAGCATGCTTCCCATATGGGATCGGTGGTAATGTAAATGGGAGTATATACGGCGGGACTTTCTCTGAGAACGAGAACGAGAACAGCAACGCGGTTATCGAAAGTCCCGCCTCGATCCTCGACACGTACAAGGCCAGAGATGGTTTCGTCGAACGAGAGATGCTGGACATAGCTCGGTGCACGCCCAGCCCCGTTGTACACTCTGCGAAGCAACAGAACAACGAGGACCAGGTGGAGGATTTGTCTGTGAGCCGGAAGTCGGATGTCCGTGTGATAGTACCGCCTACCTCGGTGGTCAAACAGGAAGAGGAGATCGGTTCTGACTCCTGCAACCACAACTAACACATTGGAGCCTGTTAGCAGGTTGGCTACACCCCTCCATACACAGCAACTAGACGTACTATAATTATTATTGGTTACAGCAGCGTCGATCTAAGGTTTTTAGGTAACTTAAGGGTATTCACAGCTTAGAGGAAATTCGTAGGCAGGATATACACACACAAAGAGATGTGTACTATGTGCGAAGCCATTAATACTCATGCGTAATGTTGTATAAATGGTTTTCCATGGGGGTTACCATATCGACAATCAGACAATCGTATCTCGACGAGCCATCCAAACAGAGTGAATCCACGTACAGCGTGTTTGATGCAGCTCTTAATGGGATTAACGAGCATGTTACCACTGAGCCATAGAAAATGTCAATGACAACACGTGTCTTACCATTGAACATTGGTACGAACGCCCATGGCGGAGAGATTCTTGGAATTTTCCGGGGGATTACTTTTACAGAAGACTGATTATTAATGCGTTGTGGACTCAAGAGACTGAAACGTAAATCGGAGCTTGCGTTCCAAAGTTGTTAAAGCCTAATGCTATATGACGAACAAACTGTGCCTTTCGCGAAATATGTTTGCATGTTATGCAGGATGAGATACCGTACGAAAGATATTAACAGTCCTCGTCTAAAAAGTAACGGGCGTGTATCAAGGATTCCGTCGTAATCGTACGTGCAAAATGTTCTCCATGATTTTAGAGAATTTAATTTTATATTATAACTGTTTCTTCTGTTTTTGAATAATATTCGAATCGCATTAAGCTTTAAACAATTTCGGACCAGTGAGTATGCATGTACGACGTTCTTTTTTTTTTTTTTTTTTTTTTTTTTTTTTAATTTACTATTGTGATTCGGTATTTTCACTTTGATTTTTGCAATCGACATAGGAGTACTATTAGAGCCTTAATCGGATCTAGGATAGGTGGCGTAAGAGGGTGGGGGGAGTGAGAGAATTGTATATTATTTTAGCAATTTTATTTTATTTTTCTTTTTAAGAAAGATATTTCCTATCTTTAGCATTAAATGCTGTCAATAGCACACGGATTATATACGAGTTATATAATCCAAACGAGGGAAAATAAGAGGGGATATAAGGGAGATAGAATGTACACTTTTTGAATTAATTTCGTTAACGACTGAGATATCGCTGTTAATTTGTTGGTAATTATAAGGATCACATTATCGTTAACTGATCATGGCCCTGGGATACAGTTGCAATATTGCTCAATACTATTCGTATACATACAGAGTACACATAGAACGAACTACCTCATATTGTACAACGAACAAGATTTTTTTTGTTCAATTTACGTTAAGACTGATACAACAGGACCTGCGTTACCAGCTCGATGGAATCGTGGTTTTTTTTTAATTTTATTTTACATACGCTGATATATGTATACAGAAGAGAAGAGTATATATATATATATATATATATATATATATATACACACACACACACACACATATATATATATATATATTATGTAAGTTATGAGAAGTATATTATATTATGAGATATAAATTTTAATTAGCGATATAGTTATAGGTTAAGTGCGAGTTCTCTTAAAAACATGTTGAGATCGCCGTTCAACGGTTCGGATACAAGGATTTACAGAAACACATTGTTAACTGGGCCAGGAATTTAAAGATTTCTGGTACTTTTTTTTGTAAATCGTTGTATCCCAGTTTCATGTAGTCCGCCCTCGAGAAGCAACAAGACAGATTCAGTATGGATGTCCATATCCAGTTGCATAGATCTCAAAGTTCTGTACTATATAAGGATCCTCTCGACGCGGAGTCGCAGACAGCAAAGATTGTTTCTTCTTCTTTTTTTTTTTTATGATGAATTGTTGTCACGTTAACTATGGATCTCATATTTTATAGACTGTACAAGTTAATAAGTAAGAATTCACTCGATGTCAAGCCTCTTCGTACAGTGAAATTTGTCAAACTGGATAAATCCTCACTCCCTTTTTGTAATGTTCAGGATAGATTTCACTGTACAGATAACAGGTTATAATACCCTTCGATAAGTACAAACCAAAGCTGCCTTTTGAAACGTTTTTACCTCAGCACGATGATACACATTCCATAGCCACTTTAAAATAGTGATAAATATAAATGGTATGGAATGTGGGGCTCAAACTTTCATCTGTCATTTTTAGTAAATAAATTTTCTATGAAACTACCAATCCTATATGTAGAATATCATGTAGAAAGAGATACCAGTTTTCTTACAATGAGATTTGAGCCTTATTTAGTTGTATAATAGAACATGTGAAACAGTACCTGTGCATTGATTGCAATGCGATACGTTGAAATAGAATATTTATATATCCAAGATGAAACGACTGATTTTTAGGGGTCATAGCACGCCCAACCGCCATGTAGCAATAAAACAAAGTAAATAGCGAAATTGAAATATAGGAATGCTGTATTAACAATAGACGAATGAAAGAAGTGAGAATAGAAGTAGATTGAGCAGACATGGATAACTAAAAAAATAGTTTGGAAGACATGTATGTAAGTGTCTCGAATGTTAGTTCAATTAAATGAAAGTAATAGTAATATTTTTAAAACATATCTAGAAATCTGAAGTGCTTGTTGTTTATTATGTAAAAGTACAACCAAACAGTGTGTTCAATACAAAAGCTGCTTAGGGTTCAGTTTGAAGGAAACTCAAAATGACACAGAGGTGCTAAAAAGAATATAAATCATGAAATCCGCGATAAGAGATGTGTCCTTTGGATTCTGCGAGAGAGAGAAAAAAAGAAAACAATTTTTATATATCATCGAATTGACATATGTATTTTTTAGACGGTTCAGGGTGAAGAACCAGGAAACTCTCATTAGCATAATTTTTAATCACACTACGTAGGACGCAATCCTCGATGCCTTATACGAGAAACGTTAGTGGAACTTTAGGTGTGTTAATCACTGAATCAAGATTGTAAATAATCAGGGAGAGGGGGAGAGAGTTGCCTTTTATTTGTATGTATATTTTAGCGTCGTATTATTTCTTAAGACTGATTTATTTTTTTTTTCCTACGTCGACAATTTGCACTCGCCATCTTACGTACATACACGCACACCATTACACAAAAATTTTGCACTATTGAATGGAATTTGTACGTTATATACTATATATGTTTCCACACCTACCATCACAAAGAAACCAACTACGGGTGTCACTTCCCGTCTCCACTATGTGGACGTATGTTGCTAGAACTGTACAAGTTTGTTATGAAATATATTATTCATAGGAATTTTCCAGGATTTACGTGAAAACCCTTCTATAAAATTAGGCGACCCACATGGTGAGTCATTGGCTATGAAATGGGAGTCACTTTATGAAAGATTCTATAAGGTTCCAAGTGAAGTAAAGAAAATTTATATTAAAATAAAATATTAAATTTTAGATGATCGTGGATGTGTTACAAATCAATAAAATCAACGGTCTAATGATGGTAAACGCAAAATTATTCGGAAACACCCGAGTAACCACGTGTGCACCGGAACGTAAACACTCCTCGAGTTTTGTTTTGATTTCCGGTTCGGTGAACCTCTTCTCACGGTCGTCTGGACAATCTTAAGAGAAACATCAGTTCAAGTTCGGTCGTTATGATAACAGTATCTCTTGTAAAATAACTTGTACTTTGAAACAGTGAACTAATACTGCATATATTTTAATTTATTCATAGATTTGTTTATTTTAAAGTGGTTTTGTGTTGCAACGTGTGATGATCTAATCAACAATTAGATCATTTGTGACAGTCAGTTAAAATTTGTGACTATCGGAAGACAAAGCGTCGTACTCCATGCTCTGTAAGTTTGTCAATTTAAATATTTTAAATATTTTTATACATCATGTGCCTTGCATAAATTTTTATTTGAAATCATTGTCAGTAATATTACATAATTTTTATTTAACATTATTGTCAATAATCTTGCATAATTTTTATTTCAGTTCAGTGTCAATAATTTTTAATTGGGACTATTATCAGTAATTCATATGTTTTATTTAACTTTGTTATATTCTTATTTTTATATATTTCATATTTTGCGTAATTTTTATCTAAAATTATTATCAGTAATCCTATATAATTTTTATTCAAGATTATATGAATAATCTTACATAATTTTTATTTAACGTTATTGCAAATAATGTATAAATTTAAAAATAACGTTCACAAGTAATTTCAACGATTTAGTTCACTGACTTCCGGTTTAACGGTCGTTGGAACCGTGCTCACGGCGTCCGCCAAAGAAGGGTGACTTTTTGTTCGCTCTTTATCTAATTCTTTTTTCGTTTGATCGTTGCGACGTCAGTGCCAGGTCGCCCGCTATCGCCGCGAGGAAGAATTTCAATTAGGCCACGGGAATAGGGATAGCCCAGGATTCAGAGGACAAAAAAAGTGAGCCCGTAGAACGAATTTTACATTATAATCTCTTCCGAAAAATCGGACTCGTGGGAATGACGAAGCCTATTGATCACCGGAGGTGATTTTATCCATCTAAATCATCCAGTAACGGTACACTTATTCAATCATCCCAATAAAATTAATTTTCCATCTTTCATTAGATCCACTTCGATTATTCGTGACTCGGAGAAATGAGAAAATTGGGTCGTTGATACTCCCGTCGAAATATTTGAAACTTTCAACTTCTATTCTGTACGGAAGTTTTAAGCTCCCTCTTATTGAGTCCAAGAAGCCTTTAATCAACCCTCTAACTTCCATCAGTAAAAACTTATCCACCATATTTTAAATTGTAATATATTTATACCACCTCAAAGTACCAGAAAAATATTCCTTTCAATTTATAACAAATATATTCATCATTTAAATAATTCCAGAATCTTAAATTCTATTTTGGTTTCAGTTTGACGATCCTCTACTTCCGGTCACCGCCTCGATATCCTCCCAGGCTTTACAACAACCATATTTCTCAAATACCAAAAAATATTTCCCATAATTTCTAAAAATCCATCATTTAAATAATTCCAGAAATTTAAAGAACTACATTTTCCATTTCAGTATCGACGATCCTCCACTTCCGGTCACCGCCCGAAACCCGTCTCCTATACACATCTTTAAACAATCACATTTTTAAAACCATCAGAAAGTTAGTATATATATCCACCAACCCCTACAATCTTCATCCGTATTTCATTCCAATCCCGTCTCCCATCTCGAAATTGCCCCATTCCCAAAACCCCAGAAAATTCACCGTGCCAAAAAAAAAAAGAAAAAAAAACGAACGCAAGAGAACAGTAGACATAGAAACGAAGGAAAGAAAGAGAGAGACCGACAAGGGGTAGCAATGCTACCGTAGCATAGAGGTCGTCTACCAGTGTGGTCAACGACCAACCGATGCGATCAAATCCCACGGACTACGGGCCGCATTATCCCAGGTCAGTACGCCTCGCTCTCTCCCTCCGGGACGGTCATCCTCCTGTTCCATACACACAGAGTTCCGTGTCCCTCTAATAAGTCTCATTCCAAGCTACGCGCACTGAGAGAATAATTATGGGCTTGCGCAGATCGCTCGCCAAAGGGGGCGGGCGACCGAACAGTGGAATGGAGGGGGGGGGGTGGCATAGTAGCGGGTGGCTAAGGAGAAATAAAGCCCGGAGCCCAGCCGGCGAATGTGGCCGTGGATAGCGAAATTTCTCTCGGTCTCTGTCCTCTGTCCATCCGGAAGTCTCTAGTGTGCCTCCTACAACCGCGAATGGTGATCAGTACTACGTGCCAGGTGTCTGTCTCAACCCTGATCCTACTGGCGACGTCATAATCAAAGAAAAAAAAAAAATTACGTATTTTGTGACTGATCTGGTTCTGTGAAATTGGTGGTATTACTTTACACGGTTATCGAGACACGCTGGACCATCGGCCGCTTGCGACGTTTTCCTGGATGCTGAGGCATGCGCCCTAAAAACACCGGGATTGATGTATTGCAGAGCGCAGGTACAAAACCAGACTACCCCATTTCGCATATACGACCAGCTCGACGCTGATCCTTATTTGCATGCCCGGCTGTCGCTTTTTTTTGTTCTTGCAGGTGTCGCTTCAAGGTGTCTTGGTCCTCCCAGGCTTCCTGCTGTACGTAGTTCCTGTTGGGTGGATCTTGGAACTATTTGGGGGATGTGTCACATTTAGGGAAATGATAACGTTCTGTATGTAAATGGCGCGTAGTTTGGTATGGAGCCTTCTGGGGAATATGGGACAGAGACTAGGATTATTAGATTAATGGGAATTGGGGTGGATTATGTACAGTTTGATGGGGTTGCTATTGGTTGTATTGGGTGGAATGGTCATTTATGAATTCAATTGGGGATACCATTTTCATCTGTAGGGATATTTCAATTTTATTTATGTACATTTTATTGGGAATCTGGTAGCTATTGGTATTTGGATGGAATAGTAACTTGGTAATGGAATAAGAATTCTATTGGTTAGCCCTTTTTAAACCTTTTGAGTGTTCCAATTTTATTGTATACAAATTGTTTATGTCAGTGGTGCAAAAGAAAATCTGTCTTTGTATGTGAATTATCACTGGAATTTGGAGAAATACATCAGATGATGTCTAGATAGTAACTCTTGTTTGAACATTGAATCCGGATGAATTAATTTACGGGCTGAGGGGAGTGAATTGGATCGATATACACTGATCTGTGAAATAAGGACAAAGCCGTCCTCTCCCCCCGGCGGAATTACCGAGGGTTAGGTATTCGGCAAATTGGTTTTGGACTACCGACGGCATACCTCTGTAATCGTTAAATCGATAGAATTAATTCGTCGGCGGAAAATGGGTCGCTGCAATCGAAAGTTGAACTGAATTCGTGTTTAATTGGAACGATCACCGAGCCGGAATATTAATACTCTAACCAATTCTTCAGGCTGTTTGATTATAGAGCGGGAAGCCTGGGTACCGTTTATTCGGAATCTACAATTGTGTGCTCTGAAGATGTATGAAAGTTTAACAATTTTGTAAATAAATTAATTACTTTACCTCCGTAGATCTGCATTTATTACCTGCTGTGGACAGCGACGCTGAGTCCAAGACTTACCTTGCAACAGGAAACCACTACTGCAAAAAGTTGGGACTGCCCTGCAGAATGCATTTGCCTTTCACCGAAACAGGTATCTGTTATTTATTATTATTGATTAAAAGAAATTCACTCCCAGGAATCTGAAGAGCTGTGTCATTGAACATTTCACGGCGAACTGCCGGATATCGAGCCGGTAATTGGCGAACGATTAACAGGGTCTAGATTAAGGGGTTAATCTCTCATTAATTAAGCTTAGATCAAGGGCTATGCGTACAAACATTGCTGCACTGTATCTAGTATTCCCTGTCTACATATTACAGCACACAATCACCGAGGATCAGGAAGCAACGCTTTGGGCACACAGTACACAGAAGCACACACACACCATCCAGATCCCATAGAATCAGACGGATGTCAAGATCATGCAATATTGGTTCGAGCACTTAGGAATCGCACTGATCCTTGCACAACAGAAGATTTAACATGTACACAACCAATTCAGGGGGACACACCGTACAACACCAAACACCGAATCACATCTCTGTTCACACCTAATCATTGACTACGAAACTTGTTGGACACTTTCTATGACTCGCAGTGTCTATCAGATAAGTAAAGGATGGGACCAGTTAATTAGAACTACCACTAATTAGAAACCTTTTGTATCTTTAGCCCTCCCATCAAGCTGGTGGATTGTATAATTAGGGAATATATTACTAGGTAGCTGCATAAATTCTGGTTTTTTGTGAAAATATTATTTATACACAAGAGTAGCGTCACATATTCCCCGCTTAACTATGTTAGAAAACAGATTTACTGTCTATTAAGACTCTAAGACCCATTTTCGGTTACATCGAGAGTATTTGGTGCGATCGGTACAGAATTTCTGCAGCAACTTGTGTTATCGACTCAGCTTCGTTACTGCACATATCTACAAGGTATAGGAGTAGACATAAGATGAAAGGTCTATTCTTATACCACGTCGGTGGTTACTCATAGGATACGGTACTACGATACTAATTACCTTCCAGGTACTCTGCAATACAGGTGGGCTAAAAGACATTCCCACCCAGCAGTTACCCCCAACGGTGGAGGAACTGTCTCTAACGAAGAACAGCTTCCCGATAATAAAAGGCGACGCGTTCACCGGTCTGAAAGTCCTACGGAAGCTGACTATGGATGGTAACAACATCTCCACGATCCAACCGTTTGCGTTCCGTGGCCTGAGTAAATTACGCGAGCTCTCTATTCAATATACACCATTACCCTGCATAGAGAAGTTTTCGTTCGCCGCGCTGCAGAACGTGTCGGTGCTGTTGCTGGCGAATAATAGGATCCGTTACATAGAGGGCTCTTCGTTCGCTGGGACGTCGAACATACGGGTGATCCTGTTGAGCAACAATCCGTTGCTGAGGATCCACAGCCGCGCGTTCTCGGGTCTCACGAACGTGGATCGGTTGATTTTTCCATCAGGGATCCGTACCATCGAGTTGGACACATTCGACGGTCTTCAGCACGTTGGCTTACTGAAACTAACCTATATGGACCTAACCTCCCTTCAGTCGTACACGTTCCGTGGCCTATCACACGTGCACTCGTTGAACATTCAAGAAAGCGACTTGGGTATCGTCGAGAAAGACGCTTTCACAGGCCTTGCCTACGTCGCTAGATTGAACATACTGAATAATAAAATCGATCTGATCGAAAGACTGTCATTGAAAGACGAGAGCAACATCAAACTATTGAGATTCCATGGGAACCACGTGCTCGAGGCGCCACGTCACGCGAGAGACATAAATTTGGAAGTTAGCTCGATCAGCGCGGTCGACAACCACTTTCCATGCGACTGTCAAGCTCATAATGTTCTGGACAGCGACTTCGTGAACGGCACCGCGATCGAATTCCAAAAGAGAAATTACTGTATCTCGCCGATCGAGTACAATGGCAAACCGATGAACTTCGTGGACTTTGATCTGATCGCCAGGTGTCACGATAATGTTGTCCAGGACAATCTAGGCTCCGGTGTTGTCGGGATCTTCACGCTGCCCACGACCATGTTCTTCGGTATTCTGTTATCGATGAACTTCTTCCATTAAGTACAGGTCTGTCTTGAGATTCCAATTTGTAGCATATCGTTGAAACTTCTTCAGGTTTTGGTTCTCAAAGTAACTGGGAATTGGGTCTTTCGGGCACAGAATAGCAACTGTTTCCAATTGTTCTTCCTCTGGTTTTATACAAAGAAGTCTTTTAAGATCTAAAATCTTTTCTACTTGGACAACTTTTGAAAGTATAACAAGACTTCTGCATGTTACATTCATTTCTTTGCCTTATGCTTCTGTTGTAGCACGGTGTAAATGTGCAAAGTGATATTTGAAATTTGTTTTTACATTTAAGAAGGAAACAGTTAATGCCCAAATAGTCATCCACGGATCAGACAGTGATACTTTTAGTAGGGTTAATTAAAAGTTTCATTTCTGCGTCAGTACCTAATTCATGACCCTGTTGCGTATAGTGATACACAGATGTTTAAAAATCCTTTAAACAATGTTGATTGCAATTGAGAGGGTTAAGATCACCTGGCTGGACTGTTGGTGCAGCTCTGCTTCACGATACAATTACCAAGAACTTGTTCAGACATTTACTGTATTCGATTATTGTAACTTCGCAGTCATAAGCATGCGACTAATGAGCTTTAAACTGGCCTGTATAACGGGGGCCGGTGAAACCGCATCCATTTTGGATTTATTCTGTAAATTAGGAGTGACAGCAAATCAGTGATCTGCTCACCATTTGCCACTTCGCATCACGTTAACCCTTTGTTTCATTCATTCCTATCCAGATTGAAATTATTCTAGTCTAGTACATACTCTAGACAAATATTTCTTTTCAATACTTTAAAGTGTATGTTCCTTTACAAATGTTTAATAGTTCCCTATAGCTTTATGTAGATAACTTATAAAATGACTGTCCGTGTAAATGCATGAAGCAAAGGGTTGACAACAAAGTTCGAGTAAATAATTCTCGTCGACGATGAAAGTATATAGGAATTAAGGTTATAATAAGTTGAACTTGCGCGAGAATCCTTCGTCGAAGGAACGAGATTCGGGGGAATATGAATAGCGTCAACTTGTGCTTGATCTTAGGAAGAGTTAGCTCTTGGAGATAAAGTCCATAGCATATTTACCAAAAATTTCGGACTGAAAGTTCAGGCATTTCATTCTCACAAAACAATTTTTTTTTGCTATTTTGAATTCTCGTATAAATAAATCATAGAAATTTGGTTCTTATGAGAGTTAATTCATCCTAAGATTTTTCTACGTGCGCGTAGTCTTCCTTGCATAAAAGAACCATTCTCATCAGAGATTTGAAACGTGTACAATGTGTATTCTAGAGCCTAGAATTGTGGAGAATTTCTTTGCTAATCGCAAGCACTGGGCTTGGATTCCCGGGAACAATTTCATCCTCGTTTAAAAGTGTCCCCATATTCCCGCCACGATTCGTTTCTCGGCCAAACCTTACAATATGGAACATAATTCTCAAATACTGGTCACACCTACACGTGTTTTTCCAGTCATATTTAATAAGACACCATCCTCTCAAGTTTACGCTCCGAAGCTTTCAATTATTCGCAATACAGAGCTAAAGTTTTCAATCACCAGAAATTCTATAGTTTCTTGCTGATCGTGCTTTTCACGTGGAAAAACACACACAGAAAAAAAAACAAATCGATACTGCGCTTTTGAGTATAAAAAGGAAAACTAGACAAGAGGGAAAGAAAGTTAGGTTAGTTCTTTTCCCTTGCCGCTCGTAATTGTAAAATCTGCGTGGCCTTCGGTCAGCATAGTAACCGAGGACCAAACTAGCTTATATTTTTTACCAACATCTTAACACGTAACGTATATAACAACGGAAAACAATAATTAGAAACTGTAACCGTTTATTGTAGTTAGAACAGTCTGTCGTTTAATAAAGAGCGAGCTACAGAGTATCCAGTGGTGCAGGTGGTGAGAATTACGGAGAAAAAATATGCTGTAGAATTCGTAACGATGTAGTACCCCTTTTATTGCGATCAGAAGCACACTGCGTTTCCATACTAATCTTGGTTAATTATGTTTATATGGTGCGATCTCCCAAGGTATTCTTGTCTCCATGTTGACCGGTGTTATGCCTAGATCCTCTAACGTCGGTAATCCGGGTACTATATTATCGGTGGCATGATGCTGCGGAAAGTGATTAAACATTTTTATTATACTTCACAAAAAAAAAAACGGATACACGGGTGATTCGACGGCAGTGGTTTGAAATGTACACTCACTTTTTCGAGAATTTCCCAAGATAGCCTGACAGCTGGCAATATTGGGTAAATCGTCTCGTTCAGAGTGATTTTTATGTTAAACTGCGGATTATGTTTCAGGTTCGACACAGGGTAAATCCACTGTGGCTGCCCTTGAGCCGCTAATTCATAGAACCATTTTACTATTTCGTACAATGTATACCTCTTTGACCTGAAAAGAAAAGCATTTTTTGCATTTCTATCGTTGAAATTTGTCGCGACTGTTAACATGGGGCAGACCTTTTCGAGGATGACTGATAAATCAGACAAAAGGAACGAAAAGGTTAGGTATATATCTCTGGTTTGGATAAAATCTACATACCCGACGAACTGATAGGTATTGCCAGCGGTTAGAGGATTGGTTATAACAGCAACAAGGCCTGCACCTACGTCAGAAACGTATATAGGCTGCTTTTCGGTTTTCTTTCCTTTCTCCCACAATGGTATTTGCCTGTGTGAGTAATTAAAGCCATGAATACAACAGTGAAACATTATAAATAAACAGCTCGAACGTAATATTCACCTCAAACTTCGCCTAAGAGGATTCATGTAATGAGATAAGAAGTAATCTCCTTGACCATACACATCTGATGGTCGAACAATGGTAGCATTTGGAAATTCTTCCCTTACCGCGCATTCTCCGAGCCATTTCATCTTCAGGATACGGGAACCGTTACGTAACAGTCGTGGCTGACGATATGAAACGAAATTTTTCAAATGAAACTCTCATCGTCCACGTCGCACAGAAACATGATATTAATTAACGACTCACTTCCGGGTTAGGATCCGCGTTCAAGCAAGATACATGAACAAAACGTTCCACGCCGACTTCTTTAGCCAGTCTGGCGAGTCTTCTTGCTCCTTCTACGTGTACTGTCTCGTAATCGAAGTTACGCGTCTCTGTGTCACTGCCGATTAAATTGACTACGACGTTGGAGTACTTTATACACTTGAGTATAGAGGTTTCATCCTTCAGGTGGAATGGATGGAACAACACCTGTCCAAGGTCTCCGCATAACTTAAGAGGCAGAACATTGTAACGGTCGCCTCTGTATGGAAGGATTAGCTGTAAGAACAGATTAATTAACTCGATTGTAACTTATAAAAATTAGTGGCAGTGTATTTATGGCATACTGTCATTCGCAAGGGAAGCCATAGATCTTTAAATATTTGTATCTCTTAAGTTATTAACCCTATGTGCCACTACAGTGCTTTCTTGCCATAGAAATACAGACTGCATGTCAGGTTGGGTTGGTGTCCCAACTTTAGAAAGAGACGGGTTACTTTCGAAGAACTCTTTCTAATATAGTTGAGTCAACCATTCAAAATGTAAATCCCCAGAACCTCACCCTCTACTTCTTAGATTTAAAAAGAGATGCCTAGTCCTCTGAAAGCTATCTACCAGGTATGAAAACATACATCGTGTTATTACTACACAGAAAATATCTTTACACATTTCAATTGTCATTTACTAAAGAGACTTTGACAACAGTATTACACGATATTGTGAAATACAGATCAAGATATCTAGTAATATGCAATATAAACAAAAAAAAAGCTGTATCCAGCTTGACCGTAGCCTGAGGGTTAAGTATCCTGCAACTGTAATCTTTCATGAGTTGCACTGAGAATTGGTATACACTAGAATTCTACAAATCCATGTCGATAGTGAACAGTTGGGTGTCTTTAATATTTCCCTTGTTAGATAGTTCGCATAATAGTTCAGACAGCAAGTTACTTGCCTGCGTACCGATTTTCCCAAGACGGTTACACAAAACGTTTCCAATGAAACCGTTGCACCCGAATACTGTGCATACAATGCCGTTGAAAGAGCTTCGACCGCCGGTGCCTCTCTTCAGGCTGGCCGTAGTCGGGTTCTTGATGATCCTCGGCTGCGTGCTACACTCCCGATGATTCTGTATCGCGTGGCCCGCAGTGTACACATTTTGGTTTTCTGGACCAGAGAAATATAACAATCGTTATATAATTTACGAGTACCATCGGCAAACTTAACGAGCGACTGTCAATGAAGCGAAACAAGAATATCGATAAAGCGTATATGACGGATTGTTGATAACAAAAGCACAACGAAACCAGACGACGAACAACTGGAATTAATTGTAACTTACTCGTTGTTCGTATCGCGGTCTTCGGAATCCAAGTCGCCATGTTGATGGCATCCGTCTGACTCTGTTTCGATAGCGATGACAAGAAGTGTGTTCAACTGTACACTACCGTTTGGACAGTTTACGAACGCACCCATTGATCGACGTACGAAATTTAAAATACATATGTGTATATATGTTTCTTTCTCGAATTTATTTTCATTTTAGATATCTTACAATTCATGATGAATTACTACGATATTTTGTTACTAGTTAATCTGACAAATCTTTCGAAGGACATAAAGAAAAAAAATGGCGACAATTTAGTTTCAGATTTTCCGTGATTTGTTTATTTTTAGTGTAGGACATTTTGTAATTACTTTTGAAATCAATTCTGTTTTTATTATTGTTATCTCTTGTCTTAATCATTATTTAGTCAATTTTCTACTAGAAAAGGACTAGGAAAGTGGAGGGAATATATGAGTCTCTAGAAAGTCAAATTTAGCTATTGCAGAAGTATGTGATAAATTATTTTGTAGTTTTTTTCTTTTAATTTTAAGCAAATTCAGTCAAGATTATTGCAATGGCCCAATAACATCTCGAGACTATGAAATACAAATAAATTTATTTTACAGTATTTTACATGTAAAGAATGGACACTGTTACTCTTTTTTCTTTCTCTGGTCGATAATACTATCGTTACATCGTAAGAACATGTAGTAATACAACAGCCAACAATAAGTCACTCCTATTGCACAATATATTGATGTAACTGCTAGAGGCAGGAATGGTAATCTATCATTAAATATTAATTTATGTAACATCGTTTCATATATCGTTAATAATGGCAGAGTGACAACATACAAATGTTCGTGGTAATAAAGTAGTCGTTGCTTAAATTTTCGAGATAGAGCCAAGAAACATGCGACCATGTACGTTAAAAGCATTAATATTTTCAACGGAGTTAAATTATTCGGGTGGAGTAATGGCAAAAGAGCACTGTGTCCGGCACTGCTCAAAATTAAAAATATTCTGGCATCGTCTTTGTTTGTCACAGCCAAAACACTGAAACATACGTGAGTCATTCAAGAAATATTGCTCTCTTCAATAATAATGATTATTTTTTTATCTTACCACAATGGAATAATAGCAGTTAAAATGGCTTTCTCGTGTACATGCCAACCAAACATAAATGAAGACAAGGCACAAAGCACTAAACATCTTACGAATTGCTTTGGATTTTTATCACAAGTTTTTTCCACGAACAGACTGTACAATGCAGGCTGAAATTTCGATTGTACATTTTAAATTACAACACATTAGACTGTGTTGGTGACATTTTTCAAACTTACCAATATTGAAATTAGAGTGAACACTATCGTTACGAACGGAGTCGGTGTTGGCAATACCGTGAGATTCTGTTCTTGCACCAAGCCACCAGTCATTACCGCTGACTTTGTAATTTCTATCCAACCCAATCGTTTCAGAATCATCGATGCTCCTTTGTCCAAACCTATGTACAATGCCCATGCGTTTGCAGCCCAGTATGCATGTACCAGGCCTCTTTTAAAGGGGAACAGTCTTGATAATACCTAAAATACTTGTAATTACTTACACAGAAACTGACAGCTTATGTTTCACTGTCTTACCTGAGGTAACTGAGACACAAATGGGCCAAACGAGATCACTAAAGTTGTGAAAACTATGCCTGTGAGCATAATTAAACGGTTGAAGAAGTGACCACTGTTTATGCAGTACGATTTAAGTAGCCAGATTACAAAGGCAGGCGCTACGTACAGATAAATATGTTTTAAATTCAATAACAGAGCAAACCATAGTGTTCCTTGCAAAATAGAAATCTGAAACATTGCTTTTTTTTAGTTCCAACAGGAAAATAGTACAGGATAGCACATGTAAAATCGGCACCAACCGCAAAATGAATTTTTAAAGTCACAATTTCGTAGTTGCGTGTAAAAAATATGCAGTAAATTATTACCAAATGAAACTGTAAAACTGTATTTTGCATTCGGTGGCTGGTTTTATGTGCACCACCTTGTATAATATTGTTATATATACCTGATTGTTTATTTTAGACACATTTGCAATAGCTAGTAGTAAAATACCAAGTAGAAATCCATTGTATTGAAAGTGAATGTGATCTACTACCAGCAGTCCCATGTTGCACAGTGACAGAATCACGAAAACAGCGTAGCTATCAAAAGAGGTGCAGAATACTTTTCCAATCCTAGAACAGGAATAGTAAAAATTCAGATATTTAATCAAACATTATCTAGACAGTCTTTTGAAACATACTCTCTTACTCCGTACGCGAATAACAAGTCCATAAATATGACCGAGCCTCTTTGAAAGAAAATGGTACCAGAGGATGCATAATTCTGGCTATCCACTTTCAGCATTTCGGGATCAATTAATTTTGCTGCATGGCTAAGGAAGTATTCGAACCATGCAAACAACGGTGGATAGTCTAGCGTCCATTGGTACTTGGCATGGACGTACCATTCTTGAATTGGTAAACTGTGTGTTATAGCTAACCAGTTACGGTGTACCTCAAAGTCAGTGGAACGACTGAAAGTCAAATTATACGAATTTTGATTAATGGTAAATAACCTTAAATTGTACAGAAGAAATGTAATCTAGCATAAATGTGAGAAGAAACATACTATACTGGAATTAGGAGCACTTTGAGACATGTGACAAGGACAAATACTCGCAAAAGAATCTTGTTTGCGCTCCATTCCGCTGTTGCGGTGTCACTTTTTTTCGTCTTCTTCGATTTAGCAGCATTTCTTCTGTCTGCGATATTCATTGTTTAAATTACTGTTCATCCAGCATTCTGTAACACGTTCGAAAAGCTAAGCGGTTATCTAGTGCTGCCAACGCGGCTTCTGTGGTATTCTCTCTCTATCTCTCTCTAGCTTGTGGAGAAAAACTTTGCGTGGCAACCCAATATCTTCGGAGGGAAAATGAAATCGAATAACTTTCTACAAAAAATAGTTTTATTGTTATTTAACTTATAACATCATGATGTTATTAAATATCGATTCTCCTTAATTCCACTATTTTACAATGCAACATACAAAAAAAGGAAACTTCGTGTCCTCGTCTCGAGATGCCTCTGATCTTTCCAGCGCCAAATCAAAAGTAAACTAAAAAACCAAGCAATGGAAAGACAGTAATAACTTATAAAACGCATAAAACCGCTATAAAATAATCCGCCAAGATTCGACTCGTATTTACAGTATAAATACACGGAGACATGGCCGGCAGTTCCAGGGCAAATGCTAGTATAAAATTGGCACCGGAAGGATTTAGAGTAGTACATTAATACCTCGCGAGAATGGAAAGCATTCGTGATACGTATCAGAGAAATTCATTTGGTTTTGTATTATTTTTATCCAGTGTCAGACGTAAAGAAATTCTGATATCGTATCAACACTTTGAGATTCAATGAATCGACAGCTGGTAATGGGGGGTGTGACGCAAAATTTCCCTAAATCTCGTGAAATCTTTCTGTACTCCCTAATACTTTGAAACATCGTCTACATAGCTATGGGTCTTGAACAAATATTATCGCGATATGTACATCAGTCGGACGCAGTGATCAAAGACTGGGCGTCTAGCAGGCTCTCTGTAGCTAAAATCGAACTGTTCATTAGAGGTGTGCTCACTGCATTCCCGGTTTTTTTATTTGAAAACGGATAAAAGCTGTCGATATTCATCTGAACGGAATAGCTGTTCGACTTTGCGATCGGCGAGCCGCAGTTCCCATTTAGATTCATCCTTAACTGGTTCACGTCGTTTCTTAGCAGTCTCGCGTAAAGGTCTATGTGGTTCTGTCCGCCATTACGGATCTCCAAAGCTGGTATCCACCGGAAGTAACACTGAGCCCACAGCTCTAGGCTCGCTATATTGTACAACGGTTTTATTATGTTCCTCTCCACCGTGTCCGTCTCTCGAGAGTTGTAAAGAGGATTGTAAAACAACAAAATGTCTTGTTCGCTGAACTGTTCCCTCCAGTCCCAAACACTCCGAAGTACCAGAGGGTTACTTGGTTCCTGAAACGAAATATTCGCCGTAATAGCTACTAGTTTATTCATAGAGGTAAACAATTTGATTGTTAGACCGGTTTACCGTAGCTGCCGCCACCCGATCTTTCTCGCAATTAAATATAAACGTGTCGAAAATTGTAACGTGGACAGCGTCCCATAACGTCGTCAGGTACGTTTCCGTGAACTCGAATTCCGCAGGGAACTGCTGACACAGTTGCCAGACACAGTCCAGGTATAAAAGGAATAACGGAGACTGTTGAAATAGAAAAATTTTACCTGTCAGAAGTTTATTAGAGAAATGAGCTTGCTGACTTTGCAGTTTAATGTACCTTCTCGGATTTCCTTTTAGCGATATGACCTAACCTATCACAGAACGGGTGACCACCGGCGACCCATTCCTTTTGCAAGAGCGACTGAAATCCATTGATGGTTCGAAAGTAAGGATCCAGTAGCAACTGGACTAAGCTCGATACGATGCAACAGACGTCTGTGCCGGCACCTTCTGAAAAATCCGTATGTTTTTACAGTGAGAATAACAGACAATCAGAATTCCAGTTGTTCTAACCTTGTAAAATAACAGAAAATCCGGAGTGAAGGTGCCCGCAGGCCTCGACAGTTTTTTGCAAACAGTACGATACATATTTCAACCACTTTGTGTTCTCCACCAATGAATAAAAATTATTATCCTGTAGCCAGAATTGCCTGATGTTCTCTGAAAGAAATGAAATCTGTCAAAAATTACTAAATGTCAAGGATGTAATAGTATTTAGTCAAAAGAGACTTACCCGGGGAACAAAGATTAGCAAATTTTGAGAAGGCTACAGCTATCAGCTTTATGCCAACGTCTTTGTTTAATTCTAGAACAATTGGTGGCATTTTCTGAGGGTGACTCTTGCGAACATTCTCGAACATAATGTTCTCTTGCATCCTGTTAGTGATCAGTGGCGAGAGCTCGGACATTTTTACTAATGCTGCACCGTGTGCACTTGACCACGACCAAATCGGTGGACGGTTGCCTTGGAAGTGTTTACTTGCTTCCATTAATTGACTGTCGGTAATGGATGACGGTACAATTATATATCGTGATAAACTGCAAAGCAATCAGTCATTTTCTTAGAATTTATTCGAAATGTAAGCACAGATTTTATCGTACAAAGCATTTACCTACGACAAAGCTTAAAATCTACATTAACCATGGACAGCCTCCAATATTTCCTAAGTTTATCGTTACGTATGGTTCTGTCTAATTCATTATGCCAATCTGATATATCCCGAAACAAGCGGACAGCTTTATCGAGACTACTATAATAAGGTTCTCTGTAATCGTAGGCGAATAGTAAATTGTGCCCGCTGGGAAAAGCATGATGTAATAATGCTGTCAACAGATTGTTCCCATCTCCGATAGGTGAAAATTTAAAAGAAAATGACCACGTTCGTAAGTTCTGAAATCCATTACATATTACTGCATTGCATACTCCTACAAATTTGATACACAGGATATACATCGTAACGGTATCAACTATTTTTCAGCAGTTTGCGATAATGTAGTAAAAGAAAAACGTTACGAACCAAAATTTATCTGTGTTGAGTGGACAACAAATATTTCGAAAATACATGTTTTTAATTTGTTGATAACGTTTTCGGTTACATTATATCATACAACTGAGAAATCATAAATACCGTAACAATGGTACAACCTGTGTATTACTGTCAGCAGACTGAAATATTTACTTTACAAATAATAAATATCCCTTTCACTTTCGATGGTACGGTATTACCAGGTACCAGTCTTCTCTTCTTATCACCAACAGTTATATAAATGTCTTCGATATTTGACAGACACGTATCCATGTACCCATACAGATGATTCTGCTGACGAACCACATCCTGTTGACAAATAACGTAATCTCTTTACAAAGATAATTCCTTTTAACGCTTGTCTATGTTAAGCTTCGTTCGTAGTTCCACTTACGTCTCCATTCGTATCATCTGTTGTGATGAAAGTGAGCTTGAAATTCGTGACCGATAGATTACCAGAGATTCCTTGCTTGAGATCACTGACAGGTGAAAACATTAGAACACTCTGCGCTTTGGTGATCATTATCTCGCCGCGGAGTAGCTTGATACTATTCTCGGATAAAGAATTACGTCGACTAGAACCCAGTGGCTGCGTGTAATATAAAATTTCTATCGTTAGATCAACGCACGAGAAAGTGTATATAATAGACCGTCCGCGATGGGTTGAGGTTATGTCCGAATGTTTACATACGAGAGGCAACGGAACAATTACCTGCATTTCGTGTTCCTCGAGGCCCACGTAGCTTATGAAATTGTTACAGCTCCTGCTTTCCATCGCGAACGCGTGAGTGATCGGCGTCGACCGTGTTGAAATAAAACCATAGAAAGCAATATCCCTTGGGCGGACGCGGATTCTGTTCAGCTCCCGTTCAAATCCATTGTCGCACGATCACTGATGATTATTCTATCGTGAATCGAACGGTAGGAGACATTTCCGAAAGTCACGGTAAAGTTTCGCTTCTCCCCGCGCGAATCATCCTGAATACTCTTCTCTACTTCTTCATCCTCGTCAGCCGTCTTCCTGTTCTGTGCATCGCTAGACCTTGAGGCTATGTTCGCCGCAATGAATTGTTCTAAGGAAGTATTATTTTATTTGATTCACAGTTATTTTCAAGTATTTGTCCAGGTGAAAGTTGAAAGCAGGATGATACTAAGGTTGACTGTTCATTAAATAAAATATTAAAGAATTTTCATTGTTCCAAATAATAAATATTTATTACTCAATAGCTCAAACATTGGTATTAAATGTACAATTTCTTGGTTATTTTAATCGATTATCAGGAATCTTCAGCTTTTAACAAAGGACACTTAGATTCTGACCCTTCTTCCTGTCTTCCAAATGCACTTTAGCAATTTCCAGGAACTGTGGTCTTTGTAAAAGAGTGTAAGCAAGAGAAAGCATGTGTATTGCTTTGTTGTGAACATGGGAAACTCCACTGGAGAACAGGTCATGGCCCAGTTCTAAACAGGTGCCGAAATCGCATTCGTCTGCTGCAATTGTTGCCAGTCTTATTACTTCCTCCAGTTTTGAGAACGGTGCTTTCTTTTCCTCTGGTGTTCGAGCTTCTTCAATTTGATTCAATATTCGTTTTAATTCGCCTGAATTATAAATAAAAAGTTACTCTCAAAATAGTAATCCAATAATAATCGACGTTTTCTTATAGATAACTTACTATCTGTTACTGACAAATCCCTGTAACCCAGTTCAGTTTTCTTATCGTATGGCACCACAATGCCAGCTTTGTGGAATGTTCTCGCAACGGCCTTCTTCTCCCAAGCCTGCATACTACTTGTCATTTTCTCCAATGTTATATTCCTCTCTTTGGCATAGGTTCTCAACCGTTGCTGGAGTTGTCCTATTCGGGTCTTTTCAAATGGAGTAGCCAATTTAACCTTCTCCCCTATGTATATACTGTAACAAATTAATAATTCCATCATTGTTCATGATTCTTTGACTTCAGGTTGTGTAAAAATATTTAATTATCAATTTGCTCACTCCATTACGCCAAATATATTCTCAGCAACAGGCTCGACAACACAATTTATACTTGCACTGTTCTTTGCTACAAACACAGGCTTCTCGGAGGCAGCATCTCTCCAGTAACCAAAGTGCAAACAGTCCTTTCCATCGACTTTCATAATAGTCTACAAAATACATCATATAATTATTAACTGTTAGTTAGATTGTAAAAGAAACTATATGGATTTCTTACTTGAAACTCTGGTGGATCATAATAATATCTCCAGTGCCTCAACAATGACTTCTTATCACTGACTTTGGATTTGAAAAACTTGTCGTTAAAAACATCAAATGGGCCTACAAGTTGTAACTGAAGATCTTTAAAAGCATTCGTAGGATCTTTCTCGGAAATGTTCTTGCAGAACTCATAAAACTGAAAGAAATCTTCTGGCATTTCTGTCAAGAACAAATGAGAAACAACCGACTTAATGTCGGTTGGAAGTACTTTATCACTTTCAGTGTCAACATTGCAATCTTCCAGCAAAGATGCAACAGTAATTTTTGCAGCAGAATCTTTAACAGATTCTGTATTATCAGAACTCGATGAATTTTTCGCGCTTTCATTGTCATCATTCTCTTTGATGTTATCATTATCATTATTACATGAGGCATTTTCGACTGTTACATCATCTTCCTGTTTCTGCACTTTCTTCTTTGGTGAATCAGTTAGTTCATTATTCTCCTCTGTCGTCTTCCTTTTCTTACTAGGGACTGTCTGCTTTGTACCATTTTTTTGTTTCTGTAGATAGAATTTTTTATTTGTATAAATTACTATATACACATACATATGTGGTGATGTCGATAAATTTTTCGTAAGAAGAATCTTATCAGTGTTCAATTGAAATAGATAGCAGTATGAATTATAGTAAATCCATACATACAACATACAAGTGTAAATGAAAATAAAAGAAAGGATAAAAATAAGAGTTGCGTCTTACTGCATCTTTTGAAGGCGGATGTTTATATTTCGCATGATGGACCGGATTTTTTTGGTAACACTTGGCTCCGAATCGACAAGGAATTCGTGTATCCTTCTGGTACGTTCTAAACTGTTCCTTCTCGTCGTCCGACATTTTCTTCGTCAGGTTTCGCGCGAAATTTACAGCAAAAATGCACGCTGAAACAAGTAACGCGGGACTACTTTTTCTCACTGCAATAATATGAAATTCATTTATTGATACATGTCATAGAAGTTTGAATAATCATACAGGAATTAAAAATCAATTTAATTAAAAATTACTAAAAAATTCCAGCGAGTCATAACTTAAATGGATTTCATCTGCTTACAAGAAGATTATTAAAAATATAGAAAAATCACTTAAATAGTGATTAAATATTCCTTTATTATGTTTCCTTGAATCAACGTCGGGTATTAACAATATTGTCGGTCATCGCGTTTTCAATTAATATCTACTTTTTTTAAAAATTGATTGAACAGTCGAGTAACGTCATCTACGGACAAACGTCCAAGCCATTAACCAATTAGTGCATCCTGTTTCGCCCTACATGGCGCCACAGTGTCATTTACTTAGCGGTAGTTTAATTTAGATTTCAGTATTTCCAAAACTACTTTAAACTGATTGGAAATTCAATTAAATAACGTTTTACAATACGCAAATCATGTGCCTCTTTTCCACATCCTCTCTCATAGAACCCCCGGAGCATGCGTTAGAGACTCCATGTGTGAGGGAAACTGGGGTCATAGCAGGAGAGGGTCCAAGAGAGTCCAAAGTCCCTTATAGAGCGGCAACCCAAATTGCAACTGGTTCCGATTCCATTTACGCCGCTGAACGGTCATTATTTTCCTTCGTCATGCATTAGACTTGAAGTTTAAAGAACGTACATTAGTACTCTCTAGCAGGTGGGAACCAATAATTACAAGAACATTGTTAAAATCTCAATTGTTTGCAACGGTTGACACTGTATCTCGTCATGCCTACCCCGCTTAGTTCACTTTGGACAAGTCTTACATCGTTATATGGACAGCATTCGTCTTGACAAAGCACTCGATTTGTAGCTGAAAGTACGTAGATTAATCCACTGTTATTGATAATAACAATAAACAACCAGAACACTGTAAAAATCGCATTTAATCGCGGAATACCACTATTTTTTCGACCGGTGGCGCCATCCGTGGCGAATTGCTGAAACTGCTAGCCATATAATTGGTTAGCAGTTTCAGCGACTCGCCACGGATGGCGCCACCGTTCAAAAAAATAGTGGTACTCCGCGATTAAATGCGATTTTAACAGTATTCCGGCCGTTTATTGTTATTATCAATAACAGTGGATTAATCTACGTACTTTCAGCTACAAATCGAGTGCTTTGTCAAGACGAATGCTGTCCATATAACGATGTAAGACTTGTCCAAAGTGAACTAAGCGAGGTACGCATGACGAGATACAGTGTCAACCGTTGGAAACAAATGAGATTTTAACAATGTTCTTGTAATTACTGGTTCCCACCTGCCAGAGAGTACTAATCTGCGTTCTTTAAACTTCGAATGTAATCCATGACGAGGAAAACTGATGCTCGCTTAGCAGTGTAAATCCGATCGAAACCTGTTGCAATTACATATACCACTAAACAGGCAACACTTTTCTTCGTCATGCATTACATTCGAAGTTTAAAGAATGTAGAATAGTACCCTATAACGGCTGATTCGTGTTGGACAAGTACTCAACTTGTAGCTGAAAGAACGTAGATTAATCTCCTGTCAGTGGCAATAACAATAAACGACCAGAACACTGTTAAATTCACACTTCATTTGCAACGGTTGACACTGTATCTCGTCATGCGTACCACGGTAAGTTCACTTTGGACAGGTCGTACACCGTTATACGGACAGCTTTCGTTTAGCTGAAGCACTCAATTCGTAGCTGAAAGTACGTGGATTAATTCACTGTTATTGATAATAACAATAAACGGCCGGAACACTGTTAAAATTGCATTTAATCGCGGAATACCACTATTTTAATGACCGGTGGCGCCGTCCGTGGCGAATCGCTCAAACTGCTAGCCAAATAATACCGACAGGTGAGTGAAAATTTCTAGTGATGGAAAAATGCTAATATCTCAGTAATTAACCACTTAAAATGAACGTTATTAGTCTCAAATTGTCCCTCAGGACTTAATGCATCGACCCAATAGTGCAGAACAGCTGAATTAGTAACATTAGTTAAGTCTGTATTACTGTAGCCCCTTATGAGGCGGCAACCCTAATTGCAAATGATTTCGAACGCATTTACACCGCTAAACGGGCATGGTTCTTCTTCGTTTTGCATTAGAAGCACTGCTTAAAGAACGTAGATTACTATTCTCTAACGGCTGGAAACCAGTAACCGCAAGAACATTGTTAAAATCGCATTTGTTTGCAACGGTTGACACTGTATCTCGCCATGCGTACCCCG